TATATATATATATATATATATATATATATATATATATATATACACATTATATACTTGAGTGCCTTAATTAGTGTACGTGTGACTGTTCTTGCATGTCATTTTAGCGGTTCATTTCTTTTATCTAACGGAGTTATTTGTTGAGGCCATTGTGCACAGACTTGATAACACACAAGGGAGATGTAAACATGATTGTCTTCCTCTCCTCTGATGCAGATCTACTATACTGGAAAGTATCAGAGCCTCGGTATCAAGCAGGGTGGCCCGTCAGCTGGGAAGTGGGTGGAGCTGCCAGTAACGAAATCACCTAAGATTGTGCAGTTCTCAGTGGGCCATGATGGCTCCCACGCCCTGCTGGTGGCGGAGGATGGGAGCGTCTTCTTCACGGGTTCCGCCAGCAAAGGGGAGGACGGAGAGTCAAGTATGATGGAAATTATTATCATGTACATACTTGATCTGCGATAATGATGTTTTAGCACATAGATCAACCGCTTGTGATGGTGTCTGTTTTTAGCAAAGAGCAGGAGACAACCAAAGCCCTACAAACCCAAGAAGATGATCAGACTCGAGACCAAGATGGCCATCTACACGGCCTGCAACAATGGCAGTAGCAGCATTGTCACTAAAGATGGAGAGCTCTACATGTTTGGCAAGGATGCCATTTACAGTGACAGTACCTGTAAGTGCCACCTGCCAGATGCCCGTTAAAGATGGCAGGGATGAAATGATGGCCTGTCATAATGCTGTCTGTAAGACTGTATATCTGTCTCCTGTGGGAGAGATTATTTAGAGCCAGTACATGCTCCACATTCACAAAAAGGGGGATATATTTAGAAAACACCATATTTGGATGTTCAGACTAAGTACATGTTTTTTTTTTCTTAAAATGGGTTCCCTGCTAGCTTAACTTTGCTGATATAGCAAATATTCCTGCAGTTCATGCTCTACATACGGGATACTCAGTTTGCAGTTCATTGAGTCATATTTTTTAATAAAGAACAGTTTTAGGATATGAAACCTCTTGCTGCATATTCATATTCATATGCATATTGAGACGTCAACTTTAGGTTGCATCCACACAAAGCCAGAGCTTTCCCTTTCCAATCTTTTTTTTCCTCCTCTCTCAAGAAATATCTGCATACACGCGAAACCATGAAACCAACACAAAACGATGTAGTATACATGCCAGACCAGTATGTGGCGCTGTAATTCTGCCACAGAGATACACTAAAACGGAGAAGACCTGGTCTATGCGCATAAACCTTGCGCGCGGTATACAAAGAACATGGAACAATACATTTATTAATCTGTGTTAATGTTAGTTAATAAAAAGACAATCGTTCAGTGTTTGGTCATGTTGTTGTTGCTGTTACGTGACGCAGCGGTGTCTGACTAGGGGCAAGACATGGGCTAATGACATCATCGTTTCACGAAATATATGGATTCGCTGTCCACACGAAAACGCAAGAGTGGCGTTTTCAGATTTATCCACTCTGGGACCCGGTTTAAAACAATATCGGTTTCACTCTCCCAAAACGCCGGATCCGTGTGGACGAAACGCCTGTACGATACAAAATGTATGCGTATACAGCTAAACACGTCTCCATGTGGACGGGGCCTGAGAGGAGATCAGCCAAATGCCTTGAATGGAAAATGAACATTTCTTCAAAGAAATTACTTAAATATGGCATCCCTGTGCACTTTCCTGTTGTCACAAATTTTAGGGGGAGAGTTCAC